ATTATATTATATGTATTATACAAATAAAATTAGTCAAAAAATTTAGTGTGATATTTATATGCAGCGTAGCATTTTTTTATGATTGATTATATTTAAAAATCGATTATAATAAAAATGTTTTACATTAATATTGGTAAAAGGGTAGTTTATAAGAGTTAAAAATTGCAAAAGTAAAATATTATTTCATAAACAATATAAGGGAATTTTTATTTTAAATTATTGCACAATTATAGCATTCCAAGATTTAAAACGTAATTTTTTTATCATTTTTTTAGCACAGGGGTGATTTATAAGGGTTGAAAAGTGTCTTTCATAAGCAATGAGGGAATTTTTATGTTAAATAAATGCACCGTTAAAGCATTCCAATCTTTTAAAAAGTAATTTTTTATCATTTTTGTCAATACAGGGGTTGAAAAGGAAAATCTTCTTTTATTTGCTATAAGGTAACTTTTATTTTAAATAATTGCACGATTTAATCATTCCAAATCTTTAAAAAGTAATTTTTTATCTTTATTTTTTGCATAGAGGTAGTTTTTAAGGGTTAAATAAAGGGTCGAAAAGATCAAATATATCATAAAATATGTTCGAGGACATGGAACATTATTTAATCTGTGCTTGAACAAGATTTTTATCAATAAAATGCTTAAAACTTAATTTTTTTTTACCCCTAAAAAACAAAATGCGTCAATCTGGCTTATGTCACTTTTGAACTTGAGCTTTATTCTAAATTTTCATACAAATCCATGCAGTTTCAAAGAATTCGGAGGTTACAGCTGATTTTCAGCTTCAATGACTGTACTAACAAGAGGTCCACTAAATGCGGTCGCGCAACCTCTGACTAAAAAAGCTGGTATTAAGTCCGGACCCACACACATATTGTCTTTAATTCTTTTTATAGCAGTAAAGGTACAACGAAGTCGTTTATAAATTCGAATTTCTCATCCCAAAAAACCCCCGGATACGAAATTTTACGAAATTAGCTTGAAATAGTCGAAAGATATTAAAGAAAATGTTTTTTTTTTCAACCTCAACAACCTGTATCTCGAAAAGTAAACGTTTATGAGCAACACTGTATATGACCTCTCCCCACTAATTTTCGTCGTAGAATCTAATGGTAAAGTTTGGCCTATTCTTTAACGGACACCCTGTATATATAATATATTATTCAACGGAATAATAACAATTGGGATAAGAACGTAATACGATAAAAAGAAAAGTCAAGAGTTCGCGTCTATTTTGCCAAAGGGTGGTACGTGTTTTAAACTACATATTTCTTAAATTTTGATAGTTGGTTATGACTGTATATAATATGTTCTTTACATTAGTACGCAAAATCTCAATGTCTAGTGGACTGTGTAGTTTAAAGACTCTTTGCAAGTAAATCTTCTTTCGTGTGGAATAAACATATGCAGTGGGTAGAATTGTCGCCACAAATATATTTTTCTGTCTTTTGAAGTTGAATGTGTTTTATATGTGTTTATGTCTTTCAACAAAAAAAAAGAACATTCTACATTGCAGAACGTCGTTGGAGCATAAAAATAATACTGTAAAAGTACATTGTAGACGCCACCACCTTACAACAATGTTGTTATTTCACATATTTTGGGTAGCATGTGTTACGGTTTATAATTGGCTGGAAAGTAATTCATTATAGAGAAAAAGAAAACTGACTACTGTTATGTATTCCCATCAACTCTTTCAATAACAATTATGTTATTATTCCCATCGACCTAAGGAAAGCGAAAAATGTTTTTAAATTATTTACGAACAGGCATGTTATAAAAATTCCTCAGCTCCGACGTCAAATAATACCTAGACAATAAAATAATAGACATTTTTATTATTGAGTCAAATTTTCGGAACAAGTAACAGACCTATAATATATTTTACATTTTGGGGAAGCAAAAAAATAAAGATCAAATTTTTGTCTCTCGTTTTGAATGTCACAGAGGTCTGAAAAAATTTTTTTACATGAAATGGGGAATTACCTCCTTAATTTTTTCGTACTTATTTATTTACATCCTGTATTTAACTCAGCTAAATTATTTTAAACTTCTTACAGATGCCACTAGCAAGTGTGTGTGAAGTGTCAAAAATTTCATAATCTGTTGAAAAAACAATTTAATTATGGTAACATACTGAGATGTGCCATTAAATTTACTAAAAACATATTACAATGAGAAGAATTTGGTAATTTTTAAGTATGTATGTGTGTACAAGATAACATCCTGCTCCTTATTATTTTTTGCCTTTCTATCTAGTATATAAACCAAACTTTTGGTTGTTTTAAGAGAATATCCTGTACTTTGTCGTGTTTTGGAGTGGATAAAGTCAAGATAGCTATGGATCTAATGTACTTTTTCGCTAATAAATTTATAGAATAAATATTTAGGTATATTTTGCTGCCAAAAGTAAAAGTTCAACAAGCAATGATACGAGTAATATAGTTGATTTACCTGTATATATGAGAAAAATCTTCATTTTCATCTTGTTCACATTTCACATTAACAACTTGCTTTCTAATAAAATCGAGTATCGTTTGGGGTTTATTTTCTTTCCAATGTGAATATTTTTCACGTATTACGTTTCTAAATTCATGTAATCTTCCAATATTTCCTTGATATTCGTGCAGTTTTTCAGCCATTATATGCGTCCGAACCGAATATTGAACATCACCACTCGATATGGAAACTGACTGGAAGTTTCAAAATACTGCTGTAAGAATCCTGCGCAGTAAAACAAATGTAACTTAATTTTGATGGTAAATACTTGCCATACTGCAGAACCGCGTGGAAAAATTTATTTATACAGGGTTCCTCACGGTAAGTGGCCTATTAAACATTTCAGAGGAACCAAAAACAATATGACTCTGAAATTTTGTTTACGGGGGTTATCAGATACGTTATCTTCAAAGAAAATAATTCCATCAACGTAGCACTTCCGGTTATACCGGAAGTAGCTGTCAACTTCGTTATTTTAAATGGAACACCCTATATATTATTGCATTGTCGACAAGATAAATTAAAGATAAGTCAAAAATGTTAAAGCTTCCCTGTACCTAAATTTGACCATTTTCGAGATAATCGGTTTTTTATAAAAAATTTGACAGATGCAAGCGTTTCGAAAATTCTTTACGTCTTTCTTCGTTCTGGGAGCTTTTACTTGCTTTTCGGAATACAAAAGTAACATAAGATGCACCACCTTCCGCTATCAAAATTACCTGAAGAAAATTATACTAATCAGTTTTCATAAAAAAACAATAAAATTGAAGATATGTTTGACTTTATCTCGTTAATCTCTCTTTAAAATGTATCCCATTGAAACAAGGTATATTCTTGTTCAATTTTCTAATAAATATTCCCAAGAACTCGAAATCATTTCAAATTATTACCACGATGTTGGGTAACAAGTTATCATTATTCTTCTGCATGATGAAATTTAATTAGAATACTGCTTGCCAGTAATTCCGAGTCTAATTGGCTTAAACTTGAAGGCTTCATGGATTTCGTAGGCTTAACTATTAAATCTAACAAAATGCCATCCTGCAATTCGTGTTCTTTATGCAGGAAACCCATTATGAACGGCTAACATATAGTTCCTTTAAAAACAACGCTGTCTACTATCAGAGGTGTACTGTATAATATACAGCGTGATTCGAAACTTATCCGAAAAAATTTGGGAATAGATGCGTTATGAAAAATAGAAAGAAATTTTTGTAAAATCCTTATAGTTTCCGAGAAGAAATTGATTGAAGTTGTAGTATTTTCAGCCCTTACATCGGTGGGCTACTGTAGTCTCCAGCGTCATTCGCATTGTGCGCTGTGAGCAATGCGTTCTCTCTCTCCACGTGGCCACAGGCGATTCCGAATACTGAAATCCGATTTTAGTATTAACCTCTTTGCGATAGTGTTTACATTAGTTTTTCAAGTGTCAAAAATGGCTTACGTGTACAGCACAAAAATTCACATTTTGTGTAGTGACTTAACATGGTACTAAAACTTATTTTTGGGAGACCAAGAGAGCAAGGAATCAAAGATCATTTTAACAATATCTTTATATTGAAGGCTATAATAATTTCTTCATACATTCCAGCGTAACACTACAGGCTGTGGTGTGTATAGTCTATAAAAATTCAACTACAGCTTCCTAACGATATAGAAAAGTCTTATACTAAAAAGTTCTATTTTTGCGTTTTTTTTCGTAAATTAAAGTTCAATTATGGATCAAAATATTTTCTCTGGAACGGTACTGTCCGTGTGCTGTACTGTACGATGAGTTACGTGCTGTAGACCAGCCGCGTAAACAAATCGTCGTTGAAAGATAGAAAGATACTTGGGGAATTTTTAAATGCAAAAGTACAAACTAAGAAAAATAGATTTTTGAAAAAAACTGATATTTTCTTATTATAATAAGTAATAGTAATTACTATCTTAAATGTATTGTTGTTACTGCAGGAGTTCGCAAACAAAACCACATCCGTAAGCATCTGTAGTTGCCAACTGCGTGCATTAAAACATGGAACAAAATGAAATAAAACTTACCATTTCTAGAAAAAATGTTGAAATTAATCCCCATTAGCGCGGATACAGGCATGACACCGACGCACCCAGTCTACTTGATTGGCACATTGCCGTAAAAGCAATCTGCAAAAACGTATTCGTTAATCACAATCCGGGGGTAAAATCTGTTGAACTGGTTGCAGATGATAGGGGTGGAACAGCTGGCGCCTTAGGATGCGATGTACGGTACGAGATGAGGTTCCTACCTGCTGTGCCAGTCGTCGAGTACTAATTGTGGGGTCTTCGTCAAGATTTTCCTACACTGCATCTTCAATATTATGGTTCACTTGCTGACCACGTCCTTCTCCTCGAGGAATAACACTTCCCGTATCTCGCAGCCGCTGAATGCACTGTAGGATTGTATTTACACATGCAGGCTGACGTTGCAGCAATTGTTCCTGCGAGTGCATTTTCTCCGGTGCACCATGCACTAACACCACATCGACACGTTCGGAAATAGTAAATGCATTGTTTTCTCGGTTCATTGTAAAACTAGTTTGTGCACAAGCACAAGCATAAGAAAATAAGAATCTCGTTTTTAATGTAATTGGGACGCTATTCTTATTTTTTACTTCTTTACAAAATCAGTTGACTGCACAAATTTTTTGACAATGTAACCTAACATTCTTTAGTATTACTAGTATTAGATTATACCGATTTAAATTATAAGGTTGCATCTCGGGTCGCATAAAAACATTTCCAAAGTTTTTAATAAATAACACAGGGTCGGCCTTCATTTTCGTTGAATAAATGAACTTTAATTTACAAAAAAAAACGCGAAGGTAGAACTTTTTCGTATAAGAGTTTTCTATTACAAATATCATCAGGAAGTTGTAGTTTATTTTTTTATAGATTATACACGCTACACCCTGTATACAAAACCAACAGAAATGACAAGTACCGCCTCAGAAGATTTACCGCGAAATTTGTTTTTGAGTTCGTTTATTGATAAATGGTTGCATGAGAAAAAATGTTAAAACGTTTTTTTATTTAGCAGTTTGTTAATGAATTTGGAATACCATTGTCGATCTGAATGTTATTTTATAACTTACAATATATCTTGTAGAAGGATTCCTAGGTTTAAGCTCAAATGTTGTACTTAAGTGTATTCATAAATCACAACATTCTTATTATTATTTCATTTTAATGATCCCAAAGTCGACAATGTCCAACGGATGTACTTCTAGGGACGTTGAAGAAATGTACAGTGTTGGACATCCCCTGAACATCCATACTATTCCTGGGACATTTAAACCTGAAATGGACTTATAACTGACGTCTTCTGGATATTGGGAGATGTATGAGAATCTAATGGCAGAAGCATGAAGAAGAGAGGCATGGCAGAGAAGAATGAAGAGCCATAGCAAAGACCATATGTAACGGGATCATTCCAATGTTTTGGAACTAGCAAATACAAAATTTTAAAAGCGCCTAAAAAAGGTATAGTTAGGCTGTTAATAGTGCAGATTACGCTTCTTATGGATTCTGGAGGACGTATTTTGGTATTGAAAAGGATTGGAAATTAATTAAAAATCAAAATGTTATTGTTGACAATTATTATTAATAAACTTACATTGATTTTAACGTTGTCGAAAAGCTATTATTTTCTATTTCAGATTATAGGGAAAATTACCAATAAAAAAATCTTCTCAAGCGTCGTAGATCGTTTCTAATGCTAAACATAAAAGTATGGGTATAAAAATTGATATCTGTAAACAATTTTTTCTAAAATTTATGTTTCACCTACTTTCTTTTCAATTATTATGCATTATTTTGTGGAAGTACATTATAAATTTGACGGTATTAACTCCTACGTATGCAACGTATCAGTGTTTAATGAACCATTATGGCTAAAAAACCTTGAATATATAATCTCTTTATCCATTTGATCTTATTTAGATCAATCATTTCGTAAATATAAGGATATTAAACGTACCTTAAATTATTTAATCGGTAGAGCGAAAGGAAAACCTTGGTTATAGTATAATTCACTTTGAATGAATAATGTAATAAGTGGTGCAAATTAATGGTAGCTCAGTTATATCTTTCTATGAGACTATCTAAATATGCGACAGAATAGGTTCTGATTGTCGTAAGATGACAATTAAATAAGGGATTATGCCTTTACAAAATCGCACCTTGTATTTCCTTCCAAATTTTTCTTTTATAAATTGCGTTTTCCTACTTTTTTGATATTTTTGTAGAAAAGTGCAGTATTTTTGTTACTAACGTTTTATTTGCAGCAATATTTCAATTTATTAAAGCTGTTTTACATTGACAATTTATTCATGAATAAATTGACGAAGTTCTTCACGAATTTATTGGTAAACAGTGTAGTTTTACACTGCTACAGACTTTGTCAAGTTTTTTGACGTATGAATCAGTTCTACAAATGAATCCAAGAAGCAAATAAATTTCAAAAATGTCACCCTTTCCACTCATAATTATAGTTATACAACAGCGGTACCGTTCTGACACATATTATATAAATATTAATTTTTGTAAGTAACAAATCAGTAGAAACAATGCAAAACTAGTACGCCACACAATTATTTACATATTCCAATAACATAACCTCATTACTGATCTGAGGCTAGAAATCTGTTGGGTTGGTACTTCTGAACTTCACGAAGAAATTGACGAAAATTAGGACATGCTCTATTTCGTCAAGAACTTGATGAGTAAATTCATGAAGTTATTTGACAGCAGATTTGGTGCATTACACTTGTCCAATTTCTTGATGAAGCGACTTCATGAATTAATTGATCAATAAATTGTCAATGTAAAACAGCTATTAATAATAACAGTTACTCCGCACGTACCTATCGGTCAACTAACAACATAGATTATAATTAATGTAAGTAAATTAGAAACATTGCCAATAAAATTATCATTAATTATTAAATTATTAAATAAATAAAAAATAATATTTAGAAAAATTTAAAATTCAGTAGGTTTTGGAAAATAAAGATGATCTAAACAAGCCATATTAACGCTGTAAATATTGTAATTTTATGAAATGTGATGAAAACTCTTTATTCATCATCATTTTTTGAAATGACTAATGAAAACAGAACTGTTAAATATAATTAGCACTTTACAATCTAATTCCGTTGATATTGGCGAAATAAATATCAAAACAATTCAACTTGTATTTCTGTACATTTTGCTGTATTTGATACATATTTCTAAATTAAAAACAAATACTTTTCCAATGTATGGAATATGTTGTGCCTTTATCTAAACGTAAATGACCAAATGGCCTCCAATTATTAGCATTCTCCTTACAATGTCCAAAATTTTAGAAAGTGTAACGGAAAAAACGATCATAGTTTCGATAATCATTTATTTTACGTCAGCTTAGTTCTTCTACTATGGCTAAACACCTAAATGTCAAATAAGTCATCAAATTTAGAGGTGCTAAAAAGAATGTGATAAACAGAACGAAGATCAGCAGTCAATATGTTCGACCTATGTTCATAACGTAACAGATCGCTTTACCAATGTATTGTAGAGAAAGTCAGTAGGTAAAAGGCCTTACCATCTGTTCACCCCTGGGGCATATTGCAGACCATGTGAATGCTGGAAGGATTATGCAAGTGGACAAAGAGATCGGTTATCATAAAAAAGAACAAATATGAAAGGACCTTAAGATTCGACAAGTCTGAGAAGTTAGCCATCGTCTAACATGTATTAGATGAAGGAAATGCAATGAATTTCGAAGGCATCGAGGTACTTGTGAGAACAACAATCTGGTAAGACGGTTTTCTGAAAAGAAGAATTTGAAAATGCACGTTACCCTACAGTGAACCGCTACTGTCATCACCTCTGACTCGAAGATATGCCTTTTACCCTACCCTACAAGACTAGTTGTTGTTGTCGTTGTTGTGAAACGCATCAGCACTCAGATACAACTCATTATGTATGCCGCCGTTTTTAGAACATCCCCATGCTATGTACTAGCTCTGCTGAAGGCTTCCTGATGTTCTGAAGTGACAGATATGCTACCCTCAGATATTTGTTTTATCACCATTAAACATGCATATCCTTCGCCATTGTCCCCCCATCTCCCCATCTTGGTATCCTGCATTTAGCGCTAGCTGTCAGATAAATTATGTTAAGATGCTTGATTAGATGTCCATGATCCACAGAAGTCCTGTGACAATCTTAATGGCGCTTTTGTTGGACAACCCAATTTTCAAATTTGCTCCAATCCAAGGGCTGTCTATGTAATACCTTGCCTATGGTAAACCATATTGGTCCAACTGTTCTTTGATCCAATACTCAATGGATTATGTTACAGATATAGCCGGAACTGGTTCAAGCTCCAAGAATTGATTACTTGAATTCTGTCCGGCTAAAACGTCGACTCTTCCATTGCTGTGACGTGTGATAACGCCTCAACAAGGATGGAGTATTGACATATTTACTCCAGGATTGCGCTTGTAAAGTTGCTTGACTCTCTGTGCATATTTGAACATGTTGATTTCTATGTTTTTTCTTGAGATTTTCTTAGACAACAGCACAGTTTTTCAAGTCCTCCCCAGTGAGCTAGACGAACCGATTCCAGACATGAGCATCAGGAGTGGCAAGTTAAGCTTCTCTAGAGTTATCTCTACCATGTAATCTCTGAAAAGTGTAGTAGAATTGTCATTGGCTTTTCCAAGAATTTTATGTCTTCCCCTAAGCTTCCCACCCATACTTTCAAAGCGGTTTAATTGCATAAAGGGTGCAAGAAATTTAATGCCGAGTTTAGTTAACTTCAAACTTTCATAAATCGGTTTTCTTAAATGGAACACCCTGTATGTTTTTCTATACATATTCTCATACACAATTTTATTCTCTTTCGAACGGTATCAGGGTTCTCTATACCTATCTCTTCTAATTTTTAAGTTATCTACTATTTTTTGTGTAATCACCTAAAATCATGTAATTTCTTGCGAGGTTAGCTGTGGAATTTTTAGCAAAACTTCAAAACAAACAACTAAACTGTCAATTTGTTGCTAGTCTCTTGCAGTGACAGTTTAACTTTGTGTTTATATGAAATGGAAAATAATACATATTCAAATGCTGATATTTTAAATTTATTATTCATTCACGGACGTTGCAATGGGATTATAAGTAGAACATGTACAGTTTTTAATGAGACATATCCAAATGCCACCAATGAGAAGAAAAAAGTTAAGAAGAATTTTAACAAATCAACTAGAGTATGAACGGTGGTTATTATTATCAACATACATAATTAAAATTGTGTATTACTATGTATGAAGTCGATATTTTAGAATTTTTCTTAACTTTATTCTGCTCATTGGTGGAAAATTGGGATATGTCTCATTAACAACTGTAAATGTTCTGCTTGGAATCCCATCGCAACGTCTGTGAATAAATAATAATAAATAACTGGTGACAATTTAGTTGTTTGTTTTGAAGTTTTGCTAAAAATTCCACAGCTCAGTACTTACATGATTTTAGATGATTACACAAAAAATAGTAGATAACTTAAAAACTAGAAGTGATAGGTATAGGGAATCCTGATACCGTTCGAAAGAGAATAAAATTGTGTATCAGAATATAGAAAAGTATGCAGGGTTTTTTATTTAAAAAAACTGACTTATGAAGGTTTGAAGTTAACTAAACTCGGCATTAAATTTCTAACACCCTGTATGCAATTAAGCCACTTTGGAAGTGTGGATGGGAAGCTTAGGTGTCTAGCTATCTCCCCTATAAATATTGTTGCTTTATCTTCTTACTATAAAATACACATGGTTTCTCTCCATTAGTTTGAAAAATATTAAGTACTAGCGAAAACGGTTAATATTAGAAATAGGGAAAGTTCATGAAAGCCCACTTAAAATAACATGTAGGATTCAAAATTGCAATAATATATAGGGTGTTCCATTTAAAATTGGCAATTTGATGGCGACTTCCGGTATAACCAGAAGTGGTACGTGGACGCCATTATTTTAGTTAAGAAGAGTATGCCCGAAAACCCGGTATCCCAAATTTTCAAAATTCAAATCGAAGTAGTCTCTGAAATAACTCTAATGGGTCGTCACCGCGAGACACACTGTATATGTTCATATTGTACTTAAATAGTTTTGATACAAAAATATCAATGTGAATATTTTTATTTGTTTAATACATCTCCCAAATACACTGCGATGATAAGGAAAGGAACTTGTAGGATTACCTGACCGTGAAATTTACTTTAATTTAAAAAAATCGTTATAAACTTCACAGTAGTTTTTATATGTTCTGGGTAATTCCATCGAATTTAGTAAAAAACAACATATAAAAGCGTGTTTTCCGTCAATTTAACGTGTAACTGAGTTGCAGCAACATTTAGTCGAAAAAATACCATTTCTGTTTTTGTTTGCTGTGTTACGAAACGTCACTTAGTAGTAAAATAACATGCATCAATGTCCTGGAAGAAAATGAGATATTCAATAGCACAAATATGAACAGTTTTTTTTAATTGTTGTTTATGATAGTTGTTAAATGTCGAAATTGCTAGGGGTAAATTAAAAAATTAAGTTGGGAATATGAGTAACGAAACTGCGAATCTCTTGCAGATTTTAACGCTATGTGCCCTAAATTTTGTACTATTGAAAACAACGAGATTTTCCGGTTTACCTTCGCCAAAAGGAACACATAAGGCGTGGTACAGTCAAACTTTCCAGTAACTACATACATACAGATAGCCGAAGACAGCTCCCTTACTCAGTCGCTCGAAGTACCTATTAATATTAATACTTTCTCTTTCGTTCTTAGTGTTATAAGTTAGGGTTGTATTTGACAAGGTTCCTCAGTAGCAGTTTTTGTTCAGTGCGCATTCTGTCCAGGTTTGGGATTATTTATGTTTGACTGTATAGTGCCATAAATTTATTATTGGATTAAGAAGGTAAGCAACTATTAGAAATTATATGTATCGGTTCATTCTCGCGCTTAAATACGCAAGGAAAACCAATACGGGGCTTTTTCAAAATAATATGTAAATGGATATATAACATTTTGTGTATAATATCTAAATTTGATAACTATTTATATTTTTTCTTTGCCTTACGCAAATAACATAAGTATATTGAGGTATTTATATTATACGCGATGGGGGAAAATGTAATTTTAACTTACGAGCGGGAGTTTTCCCTCTCACTGTTTTACGATGGTCCGAGGGTATTCTAATTTGACAGTTTGAAAAAATGTTTTTGCTGGTTTAAATTGGGATGCTAATAAAGAAAAAAAAAAAATACGTTGCTAATTTTTTATTAATTTTATAGAGGTACTTAGGTACATGTTTGTTATTTTTGATGTTGCGGAATATTAAAAAAGGTCTTTTTAAACTGTTTCCTTGAAAATGTTAAGTACAAAATCCGATACTTAATTTGCGATGTCTTAAGACCTAAACATACTTAAGTAAAAAAATTGAGCAACTGATGCATTGGAACTTTGTCTACCACTTGTAACAAATTTAAGGTTGCCCTTGACAAAACACCTACGTCGGCGGGAATGTTATTCGGGGGAAATAATTAAAATGATTTACCAAGAATTTGCAAAAACAATTACGAATTTATACAGGGTGTAACTAAATAAGTGTAAAATATTTAAGAGGGTGATTCTTGAACTTGAACACAATGCTCGTGCAAAAATATCCTGAATTACAATTTTGTAGGGAAGTCGACTGAAACGAACTTGAACAATTTATCTAACATGTTAAAATGGACTAATTAAATTTAAAAAGCAAGCCACATACACATTAATACCCTTTTATTTTTCATAGGTAATTGTGATTTATTAGTACGTTTGACTAAGTAACAATGTTAGTACATGTTATTAAAGTTATGAAAGTGAAGTTAATTAACAGTATATATTGTCCCCTGTTATTAAGTATACCGATTGTTACTTTATGTAAAACAAAGGCTTTACATCTCTTAAGCATCCAATATATTCTTAAAGAATCATAATTATTTTTATCCACACATATGAACCGTCTAAAGTGATACTTTATCCACTAGTGGAATAAAGTAATTGTATTTCACTAGTAGAATAATGAAAAAATAATAAATAAATAAATCAAATTTAATTTATTTACTTATTAACATTAACATTTACATTTTTATAGTAATAGACATTTCGTTTTTTTGTTTTATCACATTTGCCATCATTTTCGGAACGCATAACATCTGCAGAAGATTGCGAAGAGTTTGCACAAGTTACGGATGTCTCTTTTCGTAAGGAACAGTTATATTTTTCTTCGATTTTCCTTGCAACATCAAGTTTGTTAGATATAGACTCCTCAACATAACTTTCTGCCACAGAGGAGCTCTTCCATATGCCATGCTGTTTGATGGTTGTAAGATCAACATCTTTATTGTCCAATAAAGTTGTTGAAGTGCACCTCATACAATGGCCGGTATATGCTTCTGAATTTGCGATATTCAGGAATGAAGCAACTACTGAGGATACCTTTGTCAATGTGTTGATTCCAACAATTTTGATTGATTTTAAAAAGAATCTGTCTGGCGAATTGGGCGCAGAGAAATATATTTTCTGCATACTTCAACAGCATTTACGCAAAATCCTTCTTCAATAATTGTAAAATTTCTTGAAATGCCCGTCTCGGTGTCAGGTATTGAAACAAGTAGGTAACTGCCAACGTCCTATACGTCTCTAGTGTAACTTAAAATAATTCAAAGTTCACTGTATGCTACAGGGTGATCGAAAATGATTGACCGTGCCGCCTCATACTGATTTTTGATGTGCGGCATACCAGTTTTTGATACCAATACTAGAATCATGAGCGCAGGTTGAGGGATTTTAATGGTAAACAAATAATTACGTTCAAACGTCAAATAAATTAGGTTACTGTCAAAATGGAAATTCATAATAAAAATATCAATTATTTAACAAAAATCAAAGTTATTTCACAAATTAAGCAATACTGATGGACCAATAAATGTTATTATTGTTATTATTATTAAAGAGGATGACAGAATCAAATGTAGGTTTAGCCTAACTTTTCCAAAATTCTTATTTCATTTACAATTAGAAAAACTTTTAAATCAAAGTTTGATGTAGCTAATTTTGAATAACGACTGTAAGTGCTTCAGCGATTTTATTTTTAAAACGTTATGAGTTAATTTTAAAACAGAAGCACTATTGTGGCTACATTCTTGGCATCTAAGACGATTCAGCTATACAGCGATACGCTGCAAGCTGCTGTTTTTCATCAAAGCAAACTGCTGTATGCTTATAAGACGACTATTTTGCAGCTACTGCTTTCACACTTCTGAATATCCAGCGCAAGCGATCCAGCCCAAAAATTTATGCTGAACATTTTAGTTAGCTGTCGAAATTCAGGAAAAGTGTCTTAAAAAAATTTGCTTCAAGCAAATGCAAGCAGTTGGAAGTGCTTGATTATGTTAGATGGTAGGATTGTCTGTATGACCGAGAGCAATAAACAACAGTTACATGCAATATATAATAACAGAGTAATTGGAATTTTTTCACATTTTATTGAATATTTTACCTTAAAATTACATAAAATCCATAAAAATATCTATATTTTTACAATAAATGTTCAATATGATGTCCATTGTTGTTCAAGCAGGTATTAATTCTTCTTTTCATATTATTAAATACATTCTGTAAAACATTTTGTGTAATACTCCTAATTTCGTTTGTAATTGCCTCTTGAAGTTCTTCAATCGTGTGTAACCGTTGAGCAAATACTGAATTTTTTAAAAAACCAAATAAATAATAGTCTAGGGGTGTAAGGTCAGGAGAACGTGGTGGCCATCTATCTCGACTAATTATTCGATCATCATAATACTCTCTAATCAACTCTAAAGTTTCGTTAGAGGTGTGAGCTGTTGCGCCATCTTGCTGAAAGTATCCATGATGGATTTCATCGTCGTGAAGTTCCTCAAAAAATGGTAACAATATTTGCTGCCGATATACCTGCCCAGTTACATTTTCACGGAAAAAATATGGTCCGATTATTCTTCTACGTGACATAGCTACCCAAACACCAAGTTTAATAGGGTGCAGAGTTGTTTCACGCAAAATATTAGGGTTTTCTGTGTTCCAAGAGCGATAATTTTGGGAGTTTACGTACCCACTTAAATGAAACCACGCTTCATCAGAAAAAAATGTTAGATCTAGAATATCGTCGTCATTCAGATTTTCGTTAAACCAATTACAGTATTGCACACGTTTTCCAAAATCTAACGGAAGTAGTTCCTGCACAACACTAACTTTATAAGGATGAAAATGCAACTTCTTTACTGCTTTATGGCATGATCCATATGATATTCCTATAAACAATTTAGGAATAATGATACAAATTTTAGAATAAATATTTGTTATTAAGTACCTGTTTGAGCAGATAACCGACGTAGTGATTTGGTTGGACTAGCTCGTAAGCGGTTTTCAACATCTTCCAAGACTTCCTCTGTAAGAATAGACTTTCTGCCTGGAGATTTTCCTCTACAAACACTTCCAGTGTTATGGAAGCGTTCCACTAATCTCTTCACGTGTCTCGAAAAAATTTCATAATCAATTTCATCATTTGGAAATTGTTCTTGAAATTGTAAATGACACGAATTCATCGAATATTTCCAACCATTACCATTGTTTTGTCCACTACGAAAATAGGCCTCCAGAAGAAATTTATCATGTTCTAATGAAAATGCCATGTTAACCTAAATTAAAAAACCGATTAGGTTAGGAAACAACATACGCAATAAATTAATTACTCACGTATAGTATCCACCTACTCTAACTGTAGTATTGAAAAATACTGTTTTATAATGTCCCAAAATATATCAGGTAACAACAAAATCTACAAAATAATATTCAAGCCAAAAAATCCGTGCGCCAATGAACAGAACGTCAAATTGTGAAATCGCCACAGAACACCATGAAATTGCACGGAAAAAAGTAATTTTAGCAAACGGAAATCAGTTTTGATAGCAACTGAGACAGGGTACGTTCAGAATCCGGTCAATCATTCTCGATCTCTCTGTACTATACAACATGTAAAAGGTAAAGAGATATTATCTGAATCATTAAATATTCTTTATCGGAAGCCAAGTCAAAAATTCTTCGATATGTGCTCTTTCCAATACTGCAGCTATTTATGCTTTGTATCCTCTCGATTCACTCTTCAAATAAGCAATAAGCTTGTTATATTTTCCAATATCTTATTTTTGTAGACCTTTATGGTAGTCTTCAACATCGAATACTTCGACCACATAGATGAAATTGCATATTTTTTCTTCAAGTTTAAAAAATACGATAGCATGAATTCTTCATTTATTGTCATTACTCTCCGTTTCCCCTCCATTCGTTAAATTCGGCGAACACTTTTTCGTAATGTTCCCTGGATTTCGCTGGCAATAAATGGAAAATTGCTTCTTGAGTTTCTTCAAAAACAGCCACAGGAACACAATTACTTTCTTGCATTTTACCAAATAATCAGATAGAACCGTTTACATTATATAATTGATAATAAACAACGTACCATAGCAACTAGTAGATATAAACAAACCTATAACATTTCACTGAGTGCCTACTAGTAAGAAATATCAAATCGTGCGAATATTTTTTTATTAAATTCCAATAATTCTGACTCCACAAATATGATTATGATGTGATTATGGATAAAACGTTGTATTGCATCCGTGCTTTAAATGCCTTTCCTACACTTAAGAATATTAAACGGTCGAAGTACGTTCTTGCGTTTAAACATTCTTGCGTGGATAAAATACTACTGAAAACACTTATACAATAAATAATAATTATTTATTTGTGTAGTCATATTTACATTTGCAAATCATGGTTAAAATGGAATAAAATGCTTTTCTAATCACATCCTACATAAACAAAAATTTTAACTAGAGG